CAGATCATGATGATTTAGAGGATATCACATCTTCACATCTTGCTAATCTTGCGAACTTTAGGAAGGTGCTTGCCTGCCCCTGTGCAGCGGCTCATCAGAGCACGCCAGAGATGATCAGTGATCCCCGAGTGCGAGCAGAAGGCGAGAACAAGCCGTCGGCGCCAGCGACGATTGCCGCATCGGGTGACTCAATCAAGCGGGAGTGGGCTCACTACCATATGTGGGCCGGTGTCTTCGGACACGAGCTCGGACTCAACCCAGACCGTGACTGGGAAGAGAGCGTGAAACAGCTCTACACAGGCGCAATCGCGCAAACCGCTCTGTCTACGTGTCTGGGAGATGTTGATCATGGCTATAAGGCCCTCCCTAAGGTGGCACGGATCAACGACGAGGGGTTGTCGCGTTTCCAGCCCGGCGATAGCCGAGGCCGCGAAAAAGCCTGCATCATTGTTTCCGACTCTACCCTCATTTTCAAGGCTGGGGCGAGAACATTCGTTGAGATGGCGGACGACTTTAAAGCTCTGACGGGGCCTGGTCATATCCTTCAGCAATACACGAATGTCCGACAAAAGGCGATTTGGGGAGGCAACCTCCACTCGATCGTTGAGGCAGTTCACACGCTCTTGCCGCAGATCATCAACGAATCGTTAAACCCCTTGCATCTCGAGGTCGATATCGTTGTGGTTTGGATGGGCAACGAACTGTGCGGTCGTAGAGGAGTCTTCGTCGACCCAGGGACGCCACACTGGCAGATTGGTCCTGAAGGCGTTGCCGCAGAAGGGATCTGGGCGGACATTGCCGCACGTGTGTGCGGTGAAATTGGCCGTCTAGCCGCCCTTCAGGGCAGGCCAACGGTGGGCTCAGTGCAAATCCTCTCGGATGCCGACCCACTGGACTACGGGCTGCCAGCAGAGTACCGCACAGCTATCCGAAAATTCCTCGGATACGCAAGGAGTAGGGGGTTATACACCGCCTCTCTCAAAGAAAGCGTATGCCAGATCCCGAAGCACGACCACTACCACTTCCGCGAAGACTCAACACATCGCGCAGCCTTGGCCTCTGTGATCGGACAGCGGATTAAAGTGTGTCAAGCTGACCACTTATTCGCGAAGATGCCCGCAGAGACGCTGGACGAGCTGGCCCGCCGTTTTCCTTTTGATCCAGAAGGAACGCGGGTGTATTCCATGCAGTATGTCTTCGACAAGGCACTGTATCGGTCCCAGCTCTCCCGCCGCCTTTTAAGGCAGGCCGAGATTCGCGAAGCTGCGAACGAATGCCCTGATCCATGGGAATCCCCTTATGTTCCTCCACCTGATCTTCCGGTCACTGGAATGCGTGAGGTCCCTCAGGATGTCCTGAATTGGGAATGGGCCACAGCTCGCGAACAGGCGCAAAAGCGCGCGAAAGAGCAGGCGGACGCACGTGCCCGTGCTGAGCGGAAGGATCCAGCCCCACTTAGTGGTGGCCCATCTGGCAGTGCATCATCTCGCGACGTACCGGAGGTGTCCTTTGACGATGTCATCGAGGCCATCCCTTACCGCACAGAGTCTCACCGTACTCTGTCAGCGGCAAAAGAGGGCATGACCAAGAAGGACCGGGACCCTTCCAGCGGCCTATTAAGGGCTCGCCCACACGACTACATTGGGGTAAAGTACCAAGACGACTTGGACCTGATGGAAATGTGTGGCTTCGTTGACGAGGATGTGTGCCCAGAGGATCCGGAGGGGAGCGAGATCGTTCAGATCCTCCCCGACTCGATCCCGAAGGACCACCTCCCTGAGTTGGGCCTCAAACCTTACGTTGAGCGCTACCTCACAGGTGCTGTCCGAGGGTCGAACGTGAAGCTCAGCTCACGGCGCGGGAAATGGATTCGCATCCAAGAACTCATTCAGCATATGTGGAAGAAGCACCGTGTGGATCTGGGAACACGAGGTATCTTGTCCATAGTCGCCTACGATAACAAATCGAGGTTTAACTTGGCAGGCCTCCCCACCGATCCGCGTGCTGACTTCATTGAGACGGACATTTGGCCCTCTTGGATTTGTGCTTCGCATGGTCACAGCGAACGCATCAAGGACCAAGTGACCGATGCCTCCATTGCGCTGCATTGGTTCACGAACGATACGCGAGAGGAGCTTGGACCTACAGCCGCCTATCAAGGCAGGCCATTCCTTGCTCTCGGGGAGTTTCCCCCGCGTCTCTACCACAGGACGACGCATGATGCAGCCTTCAATATTCTCTCTTCTGGCTTTACGCCAGGGTTCAACAGGAGCGGCAAGTTCCACAACTACTTCGCCAAAGCCACCCTGAGCGAACTTGAGAATAAAGCTGGCAGCCGAGCGAACCTGCCTTACGAAATTGTACTCGACACTCAGGAGGTCAACCGCTATGCGTACCTCTTCGAGACAACTTCCGAAGGCATACTCACTCGCGATCCGGTGCCGGGGACTTGTGTGCTCTACATCCGCGACACCATCAAAGGCATCATCCTGTGGTCTCGTCAATCCAGCGAGGAGGAGGATACAATCATTCCGGAGACTGCCCAGGATCCCATCGTCGATCCTGGAGCAGCTGAGCCGGAGCAGTTCCCCGATGTTCCGGAGGAACCTTCAGCCCCACTTAGTGGTGGCCATGAAGAGGTTGAAACAGCAGCGTCTGCAACGGCAGACGAACCCATGGTTGAAGTTGAGATTGAGGGGGGACCGTCAGCATCTTTGGCACCCCTCGCTCTCAATGACGCCACGGCCTCCGACTTCCTTCCCGAGGAAACGGCAACATTGGATCAGGGGGGCGCATCGCCACCAGATGTGCAAACTGAGTCCAGAAAGCGAGTGCGTTTCCTTGAGCCAGAGGAACCTGTCGAGGTCGAGATCGAGATTGACGATGAAGAAGGCAATGTGAAAAAGGAGGAACAAGAGGCCAAAGTAGAGCCGATGTTCGAGCAGGCACCGCCTCAGCCGGAATCGACTCCGTTGGCTCTCCCTCCAGCCCCCGTTACGGGTGGCCGCCACAGGGCATGTCCCCACTGCGGTGCGCAGCATCTTGTGGGACAGATGATCTGCCTGAGCTGTGGCGTTCACATAGTGAAGCCTTCCCAGCAAAACGCACGCAAGAAAGTGCGTACGGCCCGATGGTTCGCTGAAGAGGCCGCCGCAGCCACCGCGGGCAAGCCACGTTCCCAGCTGACGCCGGAGGAGGTCATCCATGAAATGACCAGAGACTCCTCAACGCAGCGTGGAACTACGTCGCTTGACGCAGAGGCGTTGGACAAGGCCAGGCAGCAGTTAAAGATGGCGACAAAAGGAGGCTACACAAGCATCGTACACCGCTTCGACAATGATGTGGACTACACTATGAGTTCCATCGGCAATGGGTACGATCGTGAGTTTCTGGCCATCGAAGACGTGCTTACGCATGCTGCGCTGCCGAACCATGGCCGTTCGAAGGAGCAACGACAGTTAGCTGTCGGCACCTACGGTGGAAGCTCCGAAGGGCTGAGGAACCAGGAGATTGCTCGGTTGCTCTATTTGCACGAGTGCAATCCAGCCGCCCTTAGGGCAGGCCTGATCTCCGCAGTGAGTGACGATCCGTTTTGCATCATGTGGCTGGGAGGGGCATACAGTTTGCGTAAATTCGTAGATGTTTTCCTCCAGCACAAAATCGTGAAAATGATTGTTACTTTCTCAGAAGAGGCACTCTACGTTGATCCACGACTCGGCTATTCTGCTGAGGACTGGACTGAGTGGCTCCGTGGGAAATTCGCGGTACAGGTCGGAATTGCACGCCGTGCATATGAAGAACGCCAACGCAATGCGGAGCGTTCTCGCATCGCACAAGCAAAGGCCGATGCACGCCGAGCTGAGCAGCAGCGCTATCAGCAGGAGTGGGACCAAGGCTATCAACGCGGGTCCCACCCCTATGGCCGCTCCTCCGGTTCCCGAGGATGGTACTAAGTACCTGATCGTCATTTCGTGGTTCCGTCACGTTAACCGGTACTCCGAAATACAGCCCCTCCTAGAGGTGGCCGAATTTCCTTAAGACCAGAAAAATTTCATTCTGTATTTCCTGGCAGTCACTTTGTGACAAATCCGAACAGTCAGCAGCTCCAGAGGATGATGTATTCGTCCCACGCTGCACACGTTCTTGCGACTTGTATCCACGCCATCAATCAAGGCTTGCTGGATCGTCGCCATTTTATAATGCATGTCGCGACTTTAAACCGCGCGCTAAAAGAATTAATCTGCTTCCGTATCTTCCACTTTACGGTAGTAGAAAGCCTATGAGCCCCGAGCCACAATTCAGCCGCCTTTACGGCAGGCCACACAGCACCAAGCTTCCGTGCATGTTTGCGCCTCAGACTGACGCTTCGGCGAGGGGGGTGTAATTTGTGCACGTGTGAAGTAGCATGTTGTGTGTGTGCAACATTGTGGCACAATTGCTCTGAGGGTAAAAAGGCGTAGATACCCAATGGTACAGCTGCGCTAGTCCTTAACACTTGGACGGGTATCATCAGTGCGTGTGTGCAGTGGTTTACAACAACTATAATAAGTTTTGCTAGGGTTCTAAGTTCAGTATAGGTTGTTTGTTTGCCTTCTCATTCTTTGTACAGCATGGGCCGAAGCCGCCACACCCTCCACAGCCCCTAGGCCCTGCACACCCTAGCACCCCAAAACACAATCCAAAACCTTGAGGGGGCTGTGGGAAGCCCACAAGACTCGAAGTTCTCCGGTGTGCATTCCAGAATTTTGTTCATCTAGCCCTCCGGGCTCTCTTTTTTAACTTATGGCGTTCGGAAAGATCTTTTTTCACCGTTGCGGGTCCAAGGGCTGAAGACCAACCGCCGAAGACCTTGAAAACCCTCAACTACATGTCAAGGGTTATCCGACATGTTGAAGGGGCAGTTACCTACCAATGCCCCGGGCTTGGGTTCAAAAAGGCTTAGGATTTGGACAACTTGCTCGATCCCAATCTGCGCCATCCTCGCAGCTGTGCAGTCCCAGGCCGGGGCGGCCGCGCCGCCGAAGCCTATCCGCCCTTGGCAGAGCAATTGGCTTTAGGGTGGAGTGGGGGTTTATGTTTATGTAGAAGAAAGAACACGTGTGAGGCACTGCCGCCACTTCCATCACCATCAGCACGGTCGATAGGGACGACGACTGCTACTAGTTCCCACTTCTTACTCTACTTCTACTTCTGCTACTGCTGCTGCCACGAGTCTCTGCTACTCCTCATGGGGCGAGCAGTAAGACCATGAATGCCACTGTCAGTACGTCCGTGGCTGCTGCTACAGCTGCAACTCAACTGCCGTTGCCTCCAAAACACCAGCAGTGGCTAGCTGGATCATGGAAAGAAACGCCTACATCCTGAAGCCATAAGCAGACATGGGCAAGACTAGATATTGGTCAACGTGGCTGGCTTGGCTGCATTGGTTCATGATGGCCACCGAACCCTGCACTGAGTGTGTGACCTGAAAAGCACAGACTCCTCATTCTTCGAGGGTTTAAAAGCTGATAGCAGCAAGCCAGGGACCTACTCTTTCGCACTCCTCCGCGGCATACCCTCAAGAAGGACAACGGACACTCTCCTTTGTAGTACTCAGTACTTTTCTCGCTGTTGCTGCTGCATCGCAAGTGAAAGTTGAAACTGGGCTTGAGCCCTATAAACCCTAAACCCTAAACCCTTAAGCCCTATAGCCCTAAACCAGCTCCGCCTATCCGAGGCTCGCTCTGGCAGCCGCCGCCACTGGATACCTGCCACAGGCCACTGCACGGACCTGGTTCCGCAACCGGGCAGAGGAAGTAATACCTAGAGTTCCTAGGGTTCCCTTAAAGGGGTCTATGAGGGTTACTATAAGGGTACTATTAGAATATAGGGGCTTGAATAACTACCGGTACCATTGTGGGGGCTCCGTCTTATAATGATAGTATAACGGGCTCCAAAACCAAATCCCAATTATTATGGCCCCCGTATTAAGGCGATTCAAGGGTTCCCTTATGGATTCCTTTCTGTGTTTTGGAGTCGATACGTATCTGCCGACTCCCCAAGCCCCGATGCAAGTTTAAGATGTTTGAGTGGGTTGGGACTTTAAGGTGTAGGTAAGTAGGTGTTTAAAAGTGTAGGACTGGAGCATCTGAGAGCCATAGGCTTCAAGAGTACCGAATATATATATATATATATATATATATATATATATATTATAAATATATATATATATATATATATATATATATTATAAGCCTTTCCCCCTCTTAATAAACGGGGCCCAACATGTATATGCCATAAACCTCCTGAGCCCTTTTGAAGATCAGTAAAAATCGAAAACGGAGTATATAATCCCTGCATCCTAAACCCAATATCCACATCAGCAAACCCGACATCCCTAAGCCACAAGCCCGAGACCCTAAGCCCATGAGGTTGATTGCGGACTGAAAAGGAGCCCGACAAAAATGCCCATGAACAGTGCTTTGGGTTCTTAGGAGGTCTATGTCCCAAAGGGTCCAAAGTACCTATATAGTAGAATGTAGGGTTTCTATATTAGGAATTACTATTATGATGATTTGGGGAAGTCTTCCCCATAACAGTACATAGGACCCTTTGGGCCTTTGGGTGTGTTTGACTCTGCAGGCAGCTTTGAGACTACAGACCTCGCCTGGCCAGTCCGACCTGCCAGAGCATAAACCCAACATGGGAGTTTGCGAAAATGAGGGGGCCCTTAATATAGTACCCTATGTAAATGTTAGGATCCTTATTACAAGGACCTCAAAATAAGGTGCCCCTACTTTTCGGAAGCTCCCACATCCTGACGACGTCCGAGGAAGCCTTAGCCGACGAGCGGCTGTGTTCTGCCTGCGCGCCGGGGCCGTGTACTTGCAAGCTTTGTGCGGCCACCTTGTCCGCACTTGTAGGGTTTGGGGTTTAGGGCCAGTTCCGGTTTCAAAAAAGGCCAGTTTGGGCTGCAGAGTTCTGATGAGGTGTGAGTTGAGGGCTTTAGGGCAACCTTGGGACAAGACCAATTAGAATCACCAGTCAGCCCTAGTTGCAGTAGTGCATGTTTTTCCTGTTTCGTGCGTCTCTGCGCGTTGTGTGCATTGGTCCTTTTGTTGCTGAGCGATGAAAAGGAATCCTTTTGTTCAGCGGCTTACATATTGAGGAGCCCTAAAAGCCGCATCGCAGCACCTGAAACCCCAAGGCTCAGAAGCCTGAAATCTAAACTTCAGAACCACGCAGTGTATGTCTGTAAAGACAGACTAGGGAGACCTAGCCAGTACACTTAAAACAAACTTCAGAACCCAAACCGCAGCGTCCAGGCTTGAACTGCCTCTTTCACTACCTTCCGGCTCTTCAGGACTGAGGGGAGCGTGATACTGCTGATGGACAAAATCCTGCATTACCCACTATAAGGAATATACCATAGTTCCCATAGTTTAGAGTCCTTAGGGTCATGCAGGATTTTGTCCATCAACAGTACCTCGATTAAGGAAGATTGCTAAAGGGAGGATGACTTGGTGAATAATCTCTACGTGCCAAACCAAGGGATCCGGCTTATGATTGTAGGAAAACTGCTGGATTAGATGCCGGAGCCCGGAATATTCGCATAGTGTAGTTCCGTCAGGTCAGAATATGTCCCAAGCCCTGAATGAATCTAGGGTCAAATATCTCAGGACCCCCAAACCCAAAACCGCATGCTCTCACGCGGAACCCGCACCCCAATGCCATCTGCCCAATGGTCGGGGTAGGACCCCAAAAAGCACATAAGCCAAACTTAGGATAGGGATATCCCATAAAAACCCCCTTATACTGAAGCCCAGTAAGGTAGGGATATCCCATATAAACCCCCTTATACTGAAGCCCAGTAAGGTTGGGATATCCCATATAAACCCCCTTATACTGAAGCTCAGTTAGGTAGGGATATCCCATATTACCCCCCTTATACTGAAGCCCAGTAAGGTAGGGATATCCCATATAACCCCCCACCAATAGTAGGGATATCCCATATAAACCCCCTTATACTGAAGCCCAGTAAGGTTGGGATATCCCATATAAACCCCCTTATACTGAAGCTCAGTTAGGTAGGGATATCCCATATTACCCCCCTTATACTGAAGCCCAGTAAGGTAGGGATATCCCATATAACCCCCCCAATAGTAGGGATATCCCATATTAACTCCTTATACTGAAGCCCAGTAAGGTAGGGATATCCCTATAAAATGCATGCTTATGCTTTATGTCCTGTTTTGGGGGTCCCTTACGGGGTAGTCTTTACAAGGCAGCCTGGGGTCCGAATAGCCTTCACAACGTTTGGACTTTAACTCAAAGGGGAAAAGGAGGGACCCTTAATGGGGACCCCTACCCTACAACGGGCTATATAATGGGTATATAATAGCTATATTAAGGGTATATACCTAGGGGTCCTTATTAAGGGCTTTTACCCTTGGATTAACGGCTTACCTCGGATAAAGGTTTACGTGAGCACCTTAGCTATAGAGTGAGTTTGTGCAACAAGTGACATTTGTTGTGTCTACCTTCCAAGTCTCTGCAACTCAAACCCTGGATTTCCTAATATAGGGATCCTTTCGGGTGGTCTAGAGTGGTGCTTTGGTTGCAAGGTATTGGCCTCCTCCCCTCCTTAGTTCAATTTGTCAGATCTGCCGATGCAAGGCATTGACGAGTCTTGCATTACCATTCTCTGATCAACAGATCCAAGAGCCCAAATCCTGAAGTTTGCAGCTTCTTGCAGCAATAGCCCAAGCCTGCAGGAGCTGACACGCAGCTTCTTGAAGAAGCTTGGCCTAGCGTTCCCTTGGTTTCAGGCGCGCTCAGAGAGGTCCTTCTTGGGGGTCTCGGGTTGTGGGTTTTCAACATCCCTCAATCAGGGCGTCGTTCTACGGGTCGGCAGGAGGCATACGCATGGATGGGATATAGATTTTCAGACATGTGTATCAACAAGTATAACATCAGGGTCAACAGTTTTTGGGGCATGAAACTCGGGAGGGAAGCAACGAACATAGAGGATTTGATGAGTTTGATATAAAGTGCTGGAGCTAAACGGATACAGAATGTAGTCTTATAGAGCTTTGCACCAGCGATCTGAGAAAGATTCCCTAACAAACGAGAACATTGGTTTGATCAATGGGTCTTGAATAAGCTTGCTCGGAGTCTCCGGTTAATAATCGTCAGGTTCTTCACCTTGCATTTTCGCATACTTATGGAGCAGTTTGGGGGAGCGGTTACCAAAGTTTGAAACCGTCGAAGCCTTCTCAAATCCGAGCATGGTGTGCACGTTACCGATACAGAAGTTTCAGCGTTCGAAAGCTGGAGTAGGTTTCGCGGTTTCGTTGCGGCGCTCGTCGCTCTGAGGTTCTAGGGTTTATGGTAGGGACTACAGAGGCAGAGCAGTGATCGCGGCAGGACCCTGCACACATGCAGCATGGCTGCGTCCTTGCCCAAGCTGCAGCAGAGAGCCACGTGAAGAGGCCCACGCAATGATGCATACGATCTTGGACGCAGGTTTGCCAAGCCCAGAGCTGTGGGCCGTTTAGGCTTGAGCCCAGGTTTCATTCCTCTTTGATGTCACATCGTACCTGCATCTGGACTCTTCAGCGATCCCTGGATTCCTATCGATCCTACTTTAGGCCCGCTTCAATCATCTATCCGGTGCCCGCACTGCCCGAGCTACGACGTGGGGCATATGTTGCATTCGGAGGTCGTTTTGGCTTGCCATGGATGAGTTGCATGCAAGGGTCTGCGAGTGGTGTCGGCCTCAAGGAACTCAACTCAACAGGAACCCCACGCGACCAACCCCCAACCCCCATAAAGGGAACTCCAGAAAGTTGGAATATGGAATAATGGCAGGATCCCCTATAACTTACCGTAAAGGGAATATGATAATGATATTCCAACTTTCTGGCTTCTACTCTAGATTACAGCACTGAATGCCTCAAAGCAGCAGGCCGTAGGCCGACGATGTCCCTTCCATGTGGGCTCCCTCCTGTTCACATGTTAGAACTCTAAACCCTAAACTCTAAACCCTAAACCCTCCAATGTGCGGGGCCTTCTCTTGTGCTTGTCTGATGGCTTGTCCTACGTGGCATTACCTTCTGTTGACGCTGTCTGGCTTTGGCCGTCAGGTGAGTACTCTAGATTATTGTGTTGCCGACCAAGAACCTCGTCTGGATTGTCCGAGTTGCGAGAGCGTAAACCCTAAACCCTAAACCTGGCTGCTGGGCCTCATTTCCCGGATCCGGACCTATCAGCGCTAAACACTGCTCGATAAAACGCGAGCTTCTTTGGGGTCGTCGCTGGCTTTGATCGTAGTCGTGGGAGTGGTCGTGGGGTGACTGTTGCAGAAGTGTTGCAGAAGATGAAGAATAATCACAGATGGTGACGGTCATGATATATATATATATATATGTATATCGAAGGTCTCAATGATGCTACTTAGTTTGTTCTGTTTGCAGTATTCTGCTGTTGTTGTTGTTGTTGTTGTTGTTGGTGGTGGTGGTGGTGGTGGTGGTGGTGGTCGCGGCAGGCGATGGCAGTGGAGGGCAGTGAAGGTGGTGGTGCTGCTGCTGTGGGGTGGTAGTCTGGTTGTTGCTGCTCTGGCATTGGCTTTGCGACTGAACGTGTCTGTGCACTCGTCCGGTTCTTGTACTCTTGTTTGTTAAGCTTCGTGAGACAGCCGGCTTAAGCTGACAGTGTGTTAAGAAACGCTGCAGCCTCGAAAGCGGTAACTAGCCACAGATCGCAATTGAAAACATGCAAAAGAAGCACAGATGGTTCATTGGGCTGCCAGGTCCCGGAAGCAGTCGCACTTTCCACCGTTTGAAACGGAGGTCTGGAGCGCTGTAATGATCCTGGGATGCGCTTGATCTGGGTGGGGTTTGCGGTTTAGGCTATCTGAAGCTACAGGTTTCAGCTTGAGGAGACATGGCTTCGAGAAGGGCTTCTGGGGCTATGTGATTCTCAGATTGTGAAACTTCTTAGAATTGGGGGGGGGGGTGGCCTAGTTACTTAGGGCTCCTGGATGTGGCCTAGTTACTTAGGGCTCCCTGGATAACGGCTCCTATTGCTTGGGGTCTATATGAGGGGTCCTTTATTTCTTGAAAACCCTCCTCTGTAACTGGCGACTCTGCTCTGTCCCCCTCTCTGAGCACGGTATCTCTAGCGGCCTTGAGAAGGACTGGCCAGGGTTCTCTGTAGACGTGGTCCTGGGGTTGGGGCTGAGGGATGGGGACCTAAGTGTTCCCCCTTTAATCCGAAACTATAACATGCCATGCCCCTGGCCGATCCTCCAAACTCTCGACGGGTTGTTGAAGTCGCAGCATGTAGCTGCTCATCTTATATCCGAAACCCTACACCCCAAACCCCAAACACTCTTCTAAGGATCTGGGCACTGCAGGGCATCGATGATGCCTTCTCAGCTCTTGAAAGACATTTTTCAGATGATCGGCTTCGGAAGCGCCGCTGGGCGGCAAGTGCGCAAAAAAACTAGGCTTGGGAATTACTTAGATGGTGAGATGCTTTTGGGCTCAGGGTGTTCACGAAACTTCGACGCTTCGATTGTCTGACGTCGGTTATATATCATATATATATATATAGATATAGATACTTGATAATAATAATGGGCCTGTAACCCCAATATAGTAGGATTCATATACGGAGCCCTAATAAAGGCCTAAGGTTTCTTAATCAGGTTCCTACATCGCCACATCGCCTCTTTAAATAAATCCATAGATAAATAAATTAACAAACATATATATATATATACACATACATATAGACACATATAATATGTGTAATATATATATATATATATATATGCTCACCCCCCCCGTTGACAGACCATGCCCTTGTGATAGTGTATTCTCGTTCGGTGACTAGGCTGAGATATTGTATCTAAACACACCACACATGACGACAATCTGTGAAGCAAATCCTTTACAGTACAAATACCAAGTATACTTTTAACATGCCATGTACTGAGGACGCATGGACCAGACGCGCGACACGTGAGTTATGAGATTTGTGGTAGCATTGATATAGGATGAGTATGAGATTTAAAATTGTTATTAGTAGTAGTATTAGTGTTTACTGTAAGTATATATATATGTATATATCGACAGTAGTAAGTATACATTAATGTTAGTGCTCATCTTCGTTTTAGTCTTAGTGTTAGTGCCAGTGTCAATGCCAGTAATAGTACCACTGCTAGTATTAGTATCAGTCTTCATGCTGGGTTTAATATCAGTTAATAATGGCAGAGGTGCTAGTATTGGTATCAAAATTAGAGTTAGTTTCGATATGTTACTATTCTGATAGTTTCGTATATCAGCAGGCTAGTATATCAATACATTGATGTGTTCGAGAGGCAACATATTTGTATACTTGCATATTCGTAGATTTAACACTTTAGTACAACTGATGCATGAGTAAACTAGTATATTGCTGTATTAATATATTAGTATATTAACATACCAGTATATTCGTACATTAGTGTAATAGTATACTTGGATACGTGTATTGTCTAAAGGTTTATAAGTATATCAGTATGTTGTCACATTAGTACACTAACCTGCCATGTCGGTATACTTGCATATTACAGTAGTCGTATACTAGTATAGTAGCATACCAGTATAATAGCATACTAGTATAGTATATTCACACATTAACAAGTAGGGTATTGTTACATTGGTATATGGGTATGTGCTTGCCCTAAAACATCAGTACATGAATGCATTGATACATATCGGCATTTTAAGATATTGGTATGTGTCCTGGCGTGCAATAGCATATGCACGTGTCTTTTGTAATGGTATTAGTCTTCACATCAATATGAATATGACCATTGGTATTCGTAGGAGTATTAATGTTAATATTGGTATGAGGATTATCCATAGTCGCAATAGCCTTAGTATAAGTGTTAATAATGGTATTAATACTGGCATTATCTTGAATATGCAACAAGTTATCAATGTCAGTATTAGTGTTGGTGACAGCATTACTGTTAACAGCATAAAAGTGTACGCAATAGTATCCGTGGGAGTATCAATACTTATGTAAATCTTGGTGTTGGTATAACCAGTGTGATTGGTATTAGTAAGAGTGCTAGTGCTAGTGCTAATATTAAAATGAGGTTATGTATTCGCATGATGAACGTTTGTCTTATATTAGTATTACTCCTGATTACATGAAAATACCAACAGATAAATACATGCATGAGCTAATGTGTCTGTACTTTAATATAGTGGTATGCACATTTATGTACATTGGTATATGAAGGTGTGTATTAGTATTGGTATTAAAAAGCACTACTACCAATATGGCATAATTATTGATATGCGCAGGAGTACCATTAACAAAAAAAAATATATATATATATATATATATATATAAACACTGACAATCGTCTAAACAGACCTTGCCTTTGCAAGTGAGTCGTAGTGCATGGTCTGTCATCCGATGGGTCACAATCAGCCCATTGAAAATCAATTCCAGAAGTTCCAAAATTTCCGAAATTTCCCAAATTTCCAAAATTTCCGAAACGGCCCGACCTAGTCGACAGGATTTTTCCAAAACAAAAGGTCGGACTTTTTGGCAATTTTGGAAATTTTGGAAATTTTGGAAATCCGGAAAGTTAGGGGAGAGAATTTTGGAAATTTTGGAATTGAGTTTTTGAAAGCTGAGTGCCCCCTCCCCCCGATCACAGACCATGCGCTACGACTGAGTTGAAAGGGCATGGTCTGTCAACGGGGGGGGTGACCATATATATATATATATAGAGAGAGAGAGAGAGAGAGAGAGAGAGAGAGAATTCGTATTAATTAAGGAACCCTAAAAAGGTAGGTCCTCCACTCTGGGACTTTAGGGTACCTCGGGTCGCCGAGCCTCTCCTGCTGAGGTTTCGAGGATCTTCCCCGGCTTCCCGGCTTTAAGTTCGGAGTTTTCCCATGAGCGACGGCTGTGAGGAGGGGTTAGGGTTTAGGTGTTTGGGGTTTAGGGTTTATACAGGGTTTAGAGTTTGGGGTTTAGGGTTTACAGGGTTTAGGGTAAGGTTTTAGGGTTTGCGGTTTAAGGTTTAGGACCGAAATTCCTGAATATTGGTGCGTGGGTGTGTTTCTTTGATGAGAGGGGAGGCGGGGGTCCTTCCAGGCAGGATCCAGCGCCCTCGGCAGTATGTGTACCCAGAGGCTCCATAGTAGTTCCTTTCTGGGATTACCTTACAGGATTCTGAGTATGAACCCCAAAAAGGAACTACTATGGAGCCCATGGGTGGGTTCGGGTGTTGTTTCCTGAAACTACTGTACCCAAGCATCGTGCATGGTGAGGACGCTACAAAGTCCAAATTGGCTGTGGTGCGAGTTCTCTGTAGAGATGGGTCTGTTCGGGACCCCGAACCCCAAATCCACTTGCGCTCAACGCGCTGGACCCCACAATACCTTGAACTCCAGAACGCAAAGTCGTGGCGATGTATGTTGCCTGTACCGGATCTCAGCAAATTTCATAGCTAAAGAGATGTTGGGGTGCAAAGTAGCTTCAAAATCCTGAACCCTACACGCCCTAAAAACCTACACCCCTTAATCTCCAGTAAGACTTTACGGCATGCCAACATGTAGGGCTCCGGGTCTGAGGTTTTAGGGTCTTAGTCTTATAGGGTTTGTAGTTTTGGGGCACGTTAGACCGTCTTGGAGGTTCTTCAGTATACGGAACTGATGAATGTGTTTTTTGTTGGCGGACGCTTATCCTTAAACACCCTCTTCTGAATGAATGTTGGCGACTTCTTTGTTGTGCCCTTTTTGGCCTGGGTGTTCGCAAGGCGGGGAATTCAATCATCCAGTTGCCTGGGTTGAGGGATGCGCGTCAGCTAGGACTCGGCTATCTCTTGAGCCCTGGCGGGATGTTGGCTCGAGGCTCTACCCGTGCACAGATATGCTACATTTTGTCCTCGGCAAGGGTTGGGAAACTGCGAGCCAACAACTCTAGAGCACAAAAACCGTGTCCACATCAGCCTTGTTTGTTAACCCTATACACTCCTGAAAATGCCAGCTGCATATAAGCCATGGGCATCCACAGGCCAGAAATCCTAAACCCTAGATGACAGCTAGCAGCGGACCTTAGAATCCTAGTTGACGCCACACCGCATCCCCGCTTCCTTGACCTGAAGCCCTGATGCAGCAGCCTGTACCGAGGCTAGCCGAAATTTTGCACAAGGCTTTGAATTCAATTCGGTCCGCGGTGGGCCCACAGCAACTGAGCTGCACGTTTTGTTGGTTCAGGTTTCAGATGAGGGGAGGTGTCGCGAATCACGAATTTCGCATTTTGTTGTTTTGGTTGAAACGTTTTCTGCCAGGTTTGGTTTTCCGTGGCGTAGGCTCTGGCTTTCAGCACGGAAGCACGAAGCCTAAGTAAGCAAGCTAGATGTGTTCAGGGCAGCTACGGTGGTTAGGGCGGTTAGGGTTCCATTGCACGACAACACTTAATCCCACACGCTCAAGCTTTAGTTAAATATAGGGGCATCAACAAATAATTTCCTACACTATTTCCGCGGTTCCTTATTTTATTTATATGTATAGTATAGTATACCCCAAACCTTATTTATTAAGGCCCCTGCATTAATCCCACACAGTCATCTCCCGAGCAAAAAAATCCTAGGTAGTCTTACGGCGACCCCTTCAAGGGGACCCTTCCGAACCCTACTTCTGGCTTTCTTAAACGGGACTTTACTGAGAGGGTCTATATCTCCAATGGTCCCCCTACTGCTAACTCCTAACAAGGCATCAAAGCGGTAACACTGCTGAGCTGTACCGTACCCCCAGATCCTAAACAACTTTCTGGCTTCCACTGCCACTGTAAACCTTTTATCCGTCTGACAGAATATGGGTGGTTGTCAATATTGGGGTCCCGTTTTGGGTCCCTAATATTCAGGGTACCCAAAAAGAAGGACCATAATTTTGACAACCACCCCTTTGCGAGGGGTTCAGCCTGGAGCTTCTCTTGGCCCAGCAAGTAAGGCAAGTTCAATCTCTGTAGTATGTGGTTTCGAGCCAACGCTGCCTCGCACTTCCAACCATGTCTAGTGTGGGCTTGGAGTACTTTAGGTTTCTTTTTCGGGCTCGTTTGACATGCCTGTAGACTGCAGCTGCTGCAGTCCTACGTGCTGCATGGCCTTATAGAAAGCCTGAATTAAGGGGTTTAGGCCCAAACGTTGCTTACAACCACGAGTGCCAACCACAGAAACGATCTCATAAGCGTTTGGACGCCGAACTCCTTCGTGCACTTATCATCTTGTATACGTCTGGGCCAGGAATCTACCCTGCACCACTGACCCACCCTCAATACCCCCAACTTGCATCCTGTTCAGGTTAGTCTGTGCCTCCTATGCCGCCGATGATGCAGCCGCCCCTTGGCACGGCAATTGCTACAAGCGAGTAACTATGACTAAGAATCTTCTTAGGACACCGCAGAGTCTGGCTGGGTTTAGGGTTTTAACTCGCGGAAGAGCGGCAAACTACCAGGCGTCCTTGCAAGCAAGCCTGCAGCAACAAGGGTTTAAAGGAGGTTTGTCACACGGCCCCATTAATCCGAAACTGCAAAGGCTTCTTCTCACTCTTGCGATGCTCGAAGCCAGGGTTCGTTTCCCGGGTGTCGACAAACGTCGACATGCACGGCCTCATTCATGTTGTTTTCCGTGGGTTCGTTGTGGATACATTCGGCGAAGTGGCATGGAAGGAGATCTTGAAGCGAGCCGGCATCGACGATGAGGCCACGCTTTTGGAGATGAAGCCTTACGATGATGCGCTCACCATGGCGGCTGTCAAGATCGGCGCAGAAGTTGCTGGCGCACCGATAGAGGCGGCACTCGAGCTGTTCGGGGCGTACTTCGTCGACTTCGCAGCTGGTGCTGGCTTCATTCGGCTGCTTCGTTCGCTTGGCTCTAACTTGCATGAGATGCTCAGCAACCTGAATATCCTTCACCACAACGTCGAAAGGGATCTGCCGGCGGCCGTTTTTCCTATCTTCGAGGTCGGCAGACTGGAATGGACAAGTGACACGATGTACACCTTCAGGATGCACTATGCAAGCAGCAGGTCAGGTCTCGCGCCGCTCTTGAAAGGTGCCCTGGAGCAAGCCACGAGGAAGCTCTTCAACTCCACCCTAGAGATCCCGGGCTTCGGAGTACCATACTTTATTACCTTCATGGGAACTGTTACTTAAAGGGAACCCATGATGAACTCCAAGTCTATATCTTTTTCCCTTTTTTTTCGAAGCCGAGGATCCAAGCCCTGGCAACGGAAAGGCACAGCTTCAGATTGACTCCCCTGGCCGAAGCATCAAACGAGGTGAATTGGACCTTGTTTGTCAGCCTGGGCCAGGAGAAGGAGGAGCGTGGTGCTTAGTAGGGAATGGGGGGATCCCTACAGCCTATAGTAGTCCCTATATCCCCAATAACAGTCTCCATAATCCATTCCGCCACTCCCTTCTGTGAACCATACAGGAGAAGGATGACCGTGAGGTGCACACAGACCCGCCGGCATCAGGCGGGCCCAAAGGCTCCGCATACGGTTTCTTCGATTTCCATGCTGCCCTTGCTTCTTTCTGGTGCTGCACTACCGAGTTGGAGCTGGACCAGGGAATGATATCCCTCGCGGCTGCACCTGCTTTGGAGGAAGCTTGGGTATCTAGCTGGCACCTTCGCAAACTTTTGATTCCCCTAAAGCTCCCATAATAAAGGTAACTATTCATGTACAGTACGCTTTGGGGCGGTCTGAGAGGAACCACCCAGGTAAGCAAAGTGCATAGCATCTTGATTGAGAAGCGCGGCAAGGTCGACAGGATCACGGAGGACCGGGGACAGAATGGTGAACTGCTTCTCGTTGTTCGGGGGGGATTCTAAAGGAGCAAAGTAAACTGGGCCTGAACCCTAAACAGGACTGCCCGACACCTTCGGGTGGGCGGCACCTTTCCTTCTCACTTTGCCCGGTGGACCGCATCCGCATCGCCGCCAACCTGTTCAGGGCTTGCTCCGCCGAGCTTGTCTCCTCACCGTGGACGGCTTCGGGGCAGCTCTGGAACACAGTTGTGTTCGGGTTTAGGGATTTAGGGCTTAGGGTCAGTATCAGCCCGGTATATGTCTTACAAAGGGCAAAGCTTGCGACTCGTCACTCTTACAGTGCCCGCAAGAACATCCCAGGATTTGCAGGAGCTGAACAAGACGGAGAAGCTTAGGGGTACTTAGAGAAATAATTTTAAATATTTGGTTATTATAACCCCTAAGAAACAGCTAAAATGATAGTTTTTGCTAGGGTTCTAAGTTCAGTATAGGAAGTTCTGGGGCTCCTACACCAAGCTGGACAATTTTTATGCCATCTCGCATGACTGGCTGGTGGAGACGGTGAGTGCCGGGGAGAGGAAGTTCGTGAAGAAGGGGAAGATTCGCTTCCTGTCGCAGTCCTGGGGAATTCCGAATGAGTGGGACACGCTGATGGGGGCGGGAAGCTATGCCGAGGCCAAGGCAGCAGAAATCTGTTGCATGGCGAAGGACATTGCCGCCTTAGAGTTGGAAGACACGTCGAGGTGGAGAGAGGTGTACTTCTGGGTGGATAAGTGCTGCATTCCCCAGGGTGATCAGGAGCTGACTGGGTGGTGTGTGAATTTGCTGGAGGAGTACATCATCTTCTGCGACGGCCTCGTGGTGTTGGTCCCATGGACATACTTTACGAGGCTTTGGTGTGTCTATGAATGGGTTTGCTTCCTCCTTGTACACGATCCTGTGGACATCGAAATTTGTGCAGACCCTTTCGTGCGTGAGAGCACGCTTCCGCTCTTCATCGAGGCGATTGGCAACTTCAAGCTCGCTTCTTGCCAGTGCTTCCGGGAGGCAGACAGGCCTGTTCTCATCAACAAGGTCTCGCAGTACTACAAGTCGGTTGAAGGCTTCGAGCAATTTTTGAAGTTCACGGCCATTGCTCTTTTGGTGCGGTGTACGGCCCAACGTCGGTCGGCGAAATGCTTCGCTGCTCTTGAGCCATGGCGTCATCTCGCAGAGAGACAAGGCTTCTGCGACCTGGCGGGGAAGGTGGAGGATGTGATGACTCGTCTACCCCATTGGCGTGAGGATGCGGTGAAGAACGCGAAGGGGGGTGGCACTCGCGACGTGCAGACGGATGTCTTCAAGCATGTCGAGGCTTGGTTTAGGGCCTAAATGCAGAAACCCTAAACCCTAACTAACCATTGATATCGGAGGAGCTAAGGAGCCAGGGATGATGATAATCCCTATTAAATATGGTGCTAAAGAGCCAAGGGAACCCCAAAACCACTGCTTAGCTAAACCCTAAAAGAAAGTCCAGGCATGGTTTAAGGCCGAGATGGTCCCATTGATCCTCAAGCAGCGGAAGGATCGAAGCCCAAAGCCTCGCTGGGGTCTTCGGAGCATACAGAATACCATGGTCAACGGCCCGAAAGTCTACCGGCCCTAAAGGGCAGGAACGGCCTTCCTCCGTGTTCAACAATCCTGACATCCGATCTGCTAGACAAAATTGAAGTATTGGATTCCCTCAATTTCAATCCTGACTTCGTTAAGGCCACTGTGTTCTTGTGTTGAAGGTTTTGGCTTGCGGCCCACACCTGGCATCCCAGGCAGTTGAATAATTTGAATATAGAGGCTTCAATAGGCAGAATAATCAGGGTTGGGGTAGGCTACGGTCGAAACGGAAGATGACGGGATGTTATTTCGAATTTTCCAGACCTCTATATGGACTGAGTTGGAAGGAGGTGGCGACAGAGAGTGGTCTGCAGTTCATCGAGGAGCTGCGCCGTGCAGCCAAAGCCGTTGTTGTGGACCAGGCAGAAGATCAACCAGAAGTCACAATAGAAGAGGTCCGAGTTTGACGGCAACATAACAACAGAAAGTTTTGCCTGAGTGTGCTTTTTGGCACGTGATCTCAGGTTCGTTAGGGTCGAGCAGCGTCCGCAATGTGACCCCTTTGCCGCTTCCCTGGCTACTCTACTTGACTCTACAATGCTTTGATGCTCCAAGCCATAATACCCTGGCCTGTGTGATCAGCAGTTTGAGTCCTTGAGCTTCCCATCTACACTTTCATTACAAAGACCCTAGTCTAAGTATTTTGGAAGTGTCTCTGGACCCGGCGGGGAGAGTCGATCGTTGAAGGACGCCTTCTTGAGTGCAGACGTAGACATCGAACTTTCAGGTGGAAATCCAGCAGCATGAAGGCTGTATGGGTCCAACCTTTGGGGATTTTTGAGTTCTTAAGTCTTAACTTAGTATATGAAATTCCGCCGACACGCCATTCGGCAGTCTCGGCTGGTTTGAGATTTTAAGTACCTTTAATTTGTGCATGCCGGCTAAGCCGTTGCAACGACCAGTTTCCATTCGTGGAGCCAAAAGAAATTGCATGCTACGCAGTCGTCTGGCATCGCCCGAGATGTGACTGACAAGAGCCCAGAATCGCCTATGTCCTGAAGAACAGGGGGTTGAACTTTTTCCGGCGAAGACGAAAGATTTGCATGGCGTATATAGATTTAGATGCAATTGGCACAGAGTCAGAGCGTAGTGTGTCCATTTTGCAGGGATCCTCAACCCCATCTGTCGAGCACCGAGCATCCACCGGAAGCATGGGTTTCTTCACCGCTCTACAGCTCCTGGGTCTAACATGATACTTCGATGAGAGTAACTCAAGCCTAAAACTCTAAACCAACAACACCAGCGGAGATCCCCCGAAAGTGAAAGACCATAATATAGGGGCCTAACAATAATTCCCTATACTATTTTAGGGGCTCCTTGTTATAAGTATAGTATTATATGGCCCCCGAAACCCTATTCTAATTATTAAGGCATATAGACCACCTATAGGCCATATAGTAGCCCTTATAGACCCCTTTAAAGGGAACCCTATTCTAATTATTAATTCCTATAACAGTTGTTATTTGTGTTTTCCAGAGTACCAGGAGCGCAGCATCACCCACCGATCCGGTGGTTCGCTATGCTTGGTGGCAAAAAACAGATCGTACTGTACCCAGAGGCCCCAAAGTAGTTCCTTTTGGGGATTACCCTATAGGATTCTATATACGAACCCCAAAAAGGAACTACTTTGGGGGCCTTTGGGTAGTTGCCATCTGCGTTTTTCCAGCATTATGCCGCTTTCGGAAGCATTCCGCGCACTACATCTGTAGTCCAGCTCTATCCGAAGATGGCGGGTTCGAGGCCCTCGATTTCAGCAGCAGTCGGTAAATATTCGGAGGTCCCTGACCTCCGGGAACCTTGTCAACTACAAATCAAACGGCTTTAAGGAATAGCAATACTATTTTGGAGGCTCCTTATGCACCTTTTTCCCACCAAAAAACAATTCTGCGTACTAGACTGAGAGTACCAAGAGACCAC